GACAGCTCTGGCTGCATCAGAAAACAGAACTGGAACCCCTTGAAGGTCAGCAGGACAAGTAAAAAAGCCTGACTTCACACGGTTTACCCGGTTAAATAAAGAAAACCCCACACGCTCTTACCGTGAAGCAGCACCACCCGGTTCCAGGCGATGAGATTGCTGTCGACGTTCTTGTCTGAAAACAGCAAGGTTGTCATCACGTAATCGAGGAGCTGAGCGAAGAAAGGTAAAATGCACATGGAGGTGTGGACAAGGCAAAGGTTCCCACCAGATGTGCTGCCAGAGCTCGTGCCCGAGGAGAGGGGCCGGGCGCCAGACCACCCCTTGGCGACTGCTGGCGCCGAGTGCCGGATGCTTCACAGGCTTTCGTTTTGGAAGAAACTCCAAACGTACAAGACCAGGTTGGCTGCTGCTACTCTAAGTATGCAGACAAACACAGGGGTCCCGCCAAAGGACAAGACTTAGCAAGTGATGAGTGGGTTCCTACCTCTCGGACAACACAGCAGCGGGCAAGCCACAGCACATTCACTTAGGACAACAGCCAGGACTGTGGTCGCGCAGCCCGGGTGATGTGGGGGATGGACTTCTAGTGTCCCCCACGGCATGCAGGACCCTTCCCCTTGAAGGGGGCTCAGACGAGCTGGCGCTTGCTCAGACCTGCCGACCTGCTCTGTCTGCCCCTTGGCCCTGCCTCCTCAGTCCCAGTGCGTTAAGAGCACAATCCGGTGAAAGCTGTCTTTACATTCTGCACCCTCCTCTTCCTCCCCCATGGGACAGACACCCGGGACACGGGCTGCCAGGAGCCATAAATTCCCAAAAGCCTAATTGAGTCATGGGGCTCCAAGATGCTGGAGGGCAACACAATATTGATCCCAACTCAAACAGCCGGGACTTCCTGCAAAATTAGCACAGCAACTTACATGCGATTTGACTTCCACATCATATACCAGGCTGTCCCAAAGCCCATGGAATTCAGCTGGGAGAGAGGAAAACAAAAACCTAATTTTAGGAAAACAAGCACCACAATGACCAGTGAGGTCTGCCCCGAGTCACTGACGCTCTCCATCGCGCCACACACCACAGGCTGAGAGTCTCATTACCGGGAAGTTAAATTTTTGAATTGGTTCTTAAAAGTTTGATTTTTCTTTACAGATGCAAAATCACTGCCAGTCACTCAGCTTTCAACAGACAACCGAATGGAGTACGGAGTTACTTTTTCATCACGTGACCACGCGCAATTATCTCTTGTGGACCTGAGCTCTCCCACAAGCACATAGACTGCCCCACCGTCCTCCCCAGCAGCCAGCACTTGGGTGGGGCAGAGGCAGGTCTGGGCTGGCTGTCACGACACCACACGTAAACACTGAGGACTCCACCGGCTAGAACCAAGGCAAAGTCCACAGGGAAGCACGGAGAAGGCAGGAGGAAGGAAGGGGCCGGCAGGTGACCAACCGGGAAGGAAAGAGCACCTCCGGATTCTCAGCACCACCTCTGAGGGACCCGCCTGCAGGAACACAGCCTCACGATGGAGACCCCTGCTTTTATCTTCTGTGATGCGCTCTCTGTTCCACAAGAAAAAAAACACCCCGAAAGCCTACAAAACACATGGATGAATACAACCTCCTCAGCTAACTGCCTTGGAGAGAGCAGGCCACATGCCGACCCCTGACTTCGTGTCCCAGGTGCGTACTGCCCGGCGCCAGTGCTCACGCACCTGCGGGCAGGACCCAGTGACTCGCTGCAGTTATGTTCTCGGTCTCCTCCTCCAGAGTCTCACTGCTGGGGCCGCCCTCATTCAGCTGGAAGACGTGAAGTGAAATCGTGCAGGCACCCAAGTCGATGGGCTGTGATGAGAGGGAGAGCAATCAACCCACACAGACTGAACTCCCTTCCCAATTCTAGCCATGACGATTAGCCGGTAACGTCCAAAAATAAAAATTGAATATGCAGAACGTTAGAAACTCGTTCGTAGATTAGGAAAAAAGCCTATCATATTCAGATTCGGTATCAACTCTTTAAGATGTTTCTCTCTCCCCTTTTGACTAAAAAACTACTTTATTGTTCTTCGTAATCATGAAAATTACGTGGTTAGTGAAAACATACAAACGATACAGAATGAAGTTTGTCAAAGTCGCCCATCCAACCTCACAGCCACACGTACTTGACCAAAAACGGATTCGACCACACAGTTTTCTAACCGTGCCTTTCCCGCTTCTTTTTCACAGCTATGTCGTATTTGCTGTGATCGTATCATCTGCTTAGTCAACCTCTAACTGACGGATAACCAAGATGTTTCGAGTTGTCAGCTACTATTAACAACATATATAGAAAGTCGCCCTTGCACTTCTACAAAATCACATAATTATGTCTGAAGATGAATTTCTCTAGGTGAATAGGCAGAGCCAAAGATGAGAACGTTAAAACGTCTAATCGCTGGCCCCAGCACCCTCCACTGAGGCTGCGTTAACCTGTCCTCCCTCAGTAGCGTGGAGAGCGCCTCTGCGTCCTCCAAGCTGTCCAAAATCAAGTATGATGGGTAAAAGTCACAAAGCCACGGGGCACCTGGGTGGCTCAGTCGGTTGAGCGTCCGACTTCGGCTCAGATCATGATCTCACCATTCGGGGGTTCGAGCCCTGTGTCGGGCTGTGTGCTGACTACTGAGAGCCTAGAGCCTGCTTCGGATTCTGGGTCTCCCCCTCTCTCGGCCCCTCCCCTGCTCACGCTCTGTCTCTCAAAAATAAACATTAAAAAATTTTTTTAAAAAACCCCAAAACTGACAAAGACACAAACGTTAGTCTCAGTATAAGAAAGGAGAGGTCCACCTTCTAAGCAAAATTTTGGGGCCAAACCGATGCTTCCCAAGTGATTCTTTGTAAGACACGAACCATGCGGATAGAGGGGATGTATCAGACACCGGGTTGTTTGTATAGTGACAAAAAGGTCCCAACACACCCACCCTCTCCCACAAAGATGGTGGGCGAGGCCATCCGCACGCCAGACTAGACGAAGCCCTTCTCCACGGAAGGCCCATCTCATCCCTCAGCCCCCATGCCTCCTACAGTCTATGCCGGTGGAGCGGTCCATGGACATCTGCTGCCTGGAAGGACAGAGAGCAGGGACAGAGGCCTCATCAGCACAGCCCATTCCACGGCGCTGCGTTCTGCTTTCCCAATGGTCCCCCTACTGTGCTGTGAGCATCCTGACCCCAGGGCCAGCCCACTCCCAGCACCTGGCTCTTCCCAGACAAAGCAACAGATAAACGAACCACTTTCTGACAACACACCACCAAAGCAGCGAGCAGACATCCATGATACTGACGTTGCTTTTTTTTTTTTTTTTTTAAGGTAAACTCAACACCCGACGTGGGGCTTAAACCTATGAACCCAGAATCAAGATCGCATGATCTGCTAAATGAGCCAGCCTGGTGCCCCCATGACACTGACTTTGTATTCAACTATGGATTAGCGATTTCTTGGCAATATGAATTAGTCACCTGTGGGTCTTTAACCTTCAACTCTGTGTCAACAATAGACACAGACTGCACGTTTCTGCTCAGAAAAGGATCATCAAACTCGGTCCACGTGTAGTCACCAAACACAATGTTATGTCTGTTGAGCAGCTTTCTAACGCTCAGCTTTATATCTTCTTTTTTGGCAGTGCTGGGAACACAAGACACAGAGGTCAGGATGGTAACAAGTGCCTTCTACAAAATCAGGCCTTTCAGAGCACAGCGGTGGGCTCGCCTGGGGGTCAGCCCCAAGCCAAGCCCTGCCCTCCATCCGCCAAGAGGCCACAGCAACAGCTCCTGCCACCAGGGGCTGCCCCAACGGAAGATCAGCCCGGACACACAGGCCTGGAGTGCGCCACGAGCTCTGGCTAGTGCTGCTACTGTTAGGAACGAAGGCGCAAAGCTCCCACAGCCGTGGGGTTGCAGCCCGAGTCCGCATTTTAACAAAAGCCCGAGGCCTGTGATTCACGTGGGAAAACTCTGACACTTTTCCGACTGGCATTCAAGGCTTCCAGGACGCCGACCGGTTCTGGACCATACCTGCCTCCGCCCCACCTCCCACACTGCCCCAGCCGGCCTCCCCCTCGGGCTCCCCCTCGGCGGCAGGCAGGCCCCCGGGAGGGTCCACCCTCCCGGGCGCCTGCCCCACGCAAGCCACACCCAGACCCCTCTGAAAGCTGCGGACCACGGGGGTTCGCCTGGGGTCCTGAGAGATCAGGTGGTGGGCGGCTGGGGTGACCGAACGGCCCGACAAACGCCAGGTCCGAGGAGAACGCGCACACGCGCCCCTTCCTCCCCGGGCCCGTCCGGCTCCGCTTGGGTGCGGCGCCCGAGCTCACCTGCCGCTCCGCTGGTGCACCTCCACGTGGACGGTCGGCGCCTCGGCCACGCAGGGCAGCGCCTGCTTCAGGTCGCCCACGGCCTCGTCCATGGCGCCGCCTGGAGCAGCGGGGACCCGGCCGGAGCGTGGCCGCCGCCGCCTCGCGCCCCGAGCCGCCGCCACCACCCGGGCCGCCACCGCCCGGGCCGCTCCA